CTCAGGTCTCTGTTTTGGTCTGCTTGTCTTCCCTGATTGGTTCCCCTGGGTTTCCTTTCATGTGTTCAAGTAGTCTGAGTCTCTCCTTGTCTGGGCCCAGTAGATTTCCGTCTTTCATCTTTTGACTACTGAGCATTTACCTGGTCCTCGAACCAAACCTTGAAAACCTCGAAAGAGGGATTTTGTTTTCTGACCCTCCAAGTTTTCTCTGACTCTATTATTTTGTATTGGTTTTTTTTTCCATCCTGGCCTTTTTGAGTGATTATATTTTGTACTTTGTACACAGTCTTGTTTTTGCCTCGTAAGAGTGATTTTGATTTCGTACTTTGTTCATAGTTTTGTCTCCCTTGTTTTGCACTTTGTTTCCACTCTTGTGAGAGGGCGCCTTGACTTAATTAAAACATTTTGCCAAGATCTCTGCATCTGAGTCCTGCCTTGAATTACCAATCTTGACAGAATGGTGTCACGTCTGGGGGAATGTCTTGTGTGTTGTCATGTGTTGATTACCTATTGTGTTCACCTGGGGTTCCCCTCCCTCATGTGTTCAAATAGTCCTCGTTTCCCATGTCCTGTGCCAGTGTGTTTTGGGGTTTTTGTGTGTTTGTGCTTTCGTTCCTTGTCTTGTTCACCCCACGTAAGATTATGATTTTTGCACTTTGTCACAGCCTTGCTTTTACCATAGTCTTGTTTACTTTGATACTTTGCCATAGTCTTGTTACTTTTACTTTGATACTTTGTTCATAGTTTTGCCTGCTTTGTTTTGAACTTTGTCTTGTCATCCACTCCTTTTGAGTGCGTTTTTTGTTCTAATAAAACCACCCTTGAGATCCACCTCCCTGACAAATGGGGGCTATTATAGAGCAGCTAGCCTCAAACAGGGACGGAAACGACCCGACCCAAGAGGGAGATCAGGTGGTGAGTCAGGGCTAAGTTCACCAGGCTGAATATTCAAAAACGCAGCTATGATTTGGGGCTAAAGAGAGAGAAAAGAAAAAGAAAAGGGGGGTTTGAGTGAGTTTACCGGAGGCTCAGAGAGACGTGAGGCTCCTTGGACCTGAGCAGATCTCCGATGGAGAAGGAGGTGAAGCCCAGGAAGCTCCTCTGGAGGAAGAGAGGGGAGAAGAGAGTTAGAGTTGGGTCATTTCTTCAGAAGAACCCAGAGAGAGTTTAGAGCTTTTTTAGAGTCTGTCCAAACCCCAGATTCACACACGGAAACATGGTTTTGTTTTTTCTTATTTTTATTTTTTTTGCTTACTGTTTTTTTAATCTTTGAGTTTGTCTTGTGTTGTGGGGATAATTGTGTTTTATGATCTGCTCAAATGGCCTGTACAGCGCTTTGATTTTAGCTTTGGCTGACTGAAAGCGCTTTATAAATAAAGTTGAGTTGAAAACTAGCGAATGTCTTTGTTTTCTGAGCGGGCCGAAGAGCCACAGGCTGAAAACCGAACCAGAGCAAAGCAAAGACACCGAGAAGCTAAAAGAGCCGGTCCAGATGTTCCTCCTGAACCAAATATTATCCATAATTAACCCCGTAATGCCAAATGTGTCATATTGTTGGGTTTCTGTAGTTAACTTCAGAGTAGGGTCTGACCTGCTCTGTTTGGAAAGCGCTGTGAGACAACTGTTGTTGTGATGTGGCGCTATATAAATAAAATTGAATTGAATTGAATTGAATATTTGATACATACGGTTTCTGAAATGTTTTGCGTCTGACACCTTTTGCTTAATTTAATGGTAAAAACTTTGCTCAAAATCCTATTGTACACAATCAGATACACCTGATAACAGGGGGCAGAAGACTACACAAAAAATAATCTTGATTTATCGCATAGTAATAAATTATTAATATTAAAAATGTATTTCTGCTTTTTCTTTTTACATATATTTTGTTGAAAGGCCAAATAAGGAATTCAAACAAAAAAAAAGGAATTTTCTGTTTTGTTTTATTCTTGGATCAGGCTTTATAGGGTTAAGGGACAGTTTGACTCATAAAAGGACAAAAAGAAGCTTTGAAATGTGACTGAAACCTGAACCGGTGGGATAAAAATGCTCTGTGGGTCTAATGTGATTTTAGTCTTTGACATAATCTCAGTCCAGCCTCTGATTGGTCAAGAGGACGTTGTCACATTTCCTCTCAGAGCTGATGTTACCCAACGGGACGTTACACAGAAAAGGAGAAACAACAGAAGGTAAAAAGGTTTAAAGTAAAGCAGAAGTCTTAAAGGAGAGAGGGGATGGATGGATGGATGGATGGATGGATGGATAAAATACCAGATGGATGGATGGATGGATAAAATACCAGATGGATGGATGGATGGATGGATGAATTAAAGGATGGACGGATGGATGAGTTAAAGGATGGATGGATGGATGGATGAATTAAAGGATGGACGGATGGATGAGTTAAAGGATGGATGGATGGATGGATGAATTAAAGGATGGATGGATGGATGGATGAATTAAAGGATGGACGGATGGATGAGTTAAAGGATGGATGGATGGATGGATGGATGGATGGATAAAATACCAGATGGATGGATGGATGGATGGATGGATGGATGGATGGATTAATTACTGGAGGGATGGATGGATGAGTTAATGGATGGAAGGATGGATGGATGGATGGATGGATGGATGGATGAGTTACTGGATGGATGGATGGATGGATGGATGGATGGATGGATGGATGAATGGATGGATGGATGAGTTAAAGGATGGATGGATGGTTTACCTACCTGTCCGGCTGAGGCTCCCCCTGGTGGACGGAGGCAGTCGGTGCAGGCCTGCACGGCCTTCTGCATCCCTCTGGCCTCTGACTCAAACCTCTTCTTCTGCCTTTTTAATTTATGTTCTGAAACAAAAGGAGTCAATTATTCTGCCTATTTTATTCTCATGTATTTTCTTAACCTGTAAAACTATCCCGGTTGGGATAAAAAAAGATCTTCCTTAAGTTTAAACTTTGAATCCAGTGTCCTCGTAACTCTGAATATCTGACCTCTTTTTTCTATTTTTTTTTTAGAAATGTTCACTTTAAGAAACTAAAAGATTCATGGGAATCAAACTTGTGGGTTAAAAAAGGAAGAAAATGAAGAGACATTTAATCATCATTTAGTCGTAAAAACATCACGTTTACCTTCTGATGCTCTCTGATAAACACTGAACGGCACCAGAGCTGGAGTTTCCTACCTGCACCTGAACGCACCCCTCATATCAAAGCCATAGAAAACACCACCGATCGTGTTTTCAGCTAAACGGTGAATCCTTTTAGTTTTTAAACCTTTACAGGAAGAAAAAAAAACAGGCAATGGAGGCAATGGATGGAGGGAGGAAAAGTCTGTAAATCCAGCAGAAAAGTCCAGTCTGGTCGAGTCCCTTTAGCCAAAAAGATCCAACACACAGCGGCCGAGTGTGTGTCCGCGGCCTCAATCAGACCGTTTCCATCAGGGATTAAAAAGCTACGCCCCAGTGCATGATGGGAAATATGGAGATTAGAGGAGAGCCTGGCAGAATGGAGTTTGGCAGAAAGGAAGGAGGGCGAAAGAGCAAAGAGCTGGAAGAGGAAACGATTATTTATCTGACCGCCTCTTCCTCAGAGTGTGTGTGAGTGTGTGTGTGTGAATGTGTGTGTGTGTGTGTGTCTGTGTGTCTGTGTGTGTGAGTGTGTGTTCTTGTGTGTGTGTGTGTGTGTGTGTGTGAGTGTGTGTGTGTGTGTG